CCCTACCCTGACGCCTGCTGCTGCTGCTGGATATTTCAAGTTTGCGTGGCTCCCCAATGGTCGCTTGGATTTTTCTTCGGGTCCGGTTTTTCCCTCCACATTTAGGCATATGAATTTCGAATTTACACATGCTTAGCGACTTATTTGGACCTGTCATTTGTGGCCGGATGGCCTCTGAAAAAGAGCTATATAGCTTAGTGGGGCCTCACCTGGTAAAATAAAAAATATATATTTCGTTTAGAATTCGTGTATAACTTACCAGTTCAAACATGCATATAAACTCGCTTTTTAAAATGACACGTGTTCGGTCCACTGGATGGCGGCAGGGAGCCCGCGGTGCGAGGTGAGATTTGTTGACAGCTTTTCAAGCAACCCTCGAATGAATCTCGTCGATTTCGGGAAGAAAGAAAACAGATCAGTACAGAAAGAGGAACGTGGCCAATTTAATAAATAAAAGACTCCCTTACACCAAACAGTTTTCCATCGGTTTGATGAAAATGTATTCATATCCATTTATTGAGTCACTTTTGTACAAAGTTCACAACTCTTTAACATTTTCATTAAAAAAGACACCTTTCCATTTTAATCTTTGAAAAAATTACGTCATGAAATGCAATGCCGCTCATCAATATTCAATACTACCTATACTAACTTTTGTAAACGTATCATTGCAATTAATTTGCATACAAGAAAGCTTGTTAAACGTAACAGTAGCTATTCTATAGACATTGGCTGTATCAAGATGTCGATGCATCTCTTTGATATAATGGATTTGAGTAGCGGTTTAAATTCTTGGCAACAGTAATACTCAGCAGTGGCAAAATGACCTCCACCCCGTAGCGATGCGAGAGACGGGAGGTCGCAGGTTGGAGAGCGTGCAGGTGTGAGTGACGACTCCGTCGGGGTCGAGAGCAATGATGCATCCACAGACCACATTCACTACGAGTTCACGGTCCTCATTCGAACTGCTGTAATGTCCACACCGCGTTCACACACGCATGACGTGACGTCACAGTCGACATGCCAGCGCTGGCATGTGGTTGGACCAACGTTAAAACCAAACGTTGACTAAGAGTTCCTTGTTGACTGGGATGGCTTCGTTAAAAATAATCAAGAAATATAAACATTGACAATACGCCTAAACTGCAACATTGTCGCGCAGAGATGAAGACTCTCCACTCACCCTACCTTGCATCTTATCTGGGGTAAAGACAGAACGAGTGCAGATAATTCCTCAATGTGAGGATGCTTTCTACTAAATTCAGGGTGACGCCAAAATCGGTGGGTGTGGGGGGGGGAATCGACAAAAAAAACTCCGAGTTCTGTCTGAAGGTCCCGTGGGTAGCGGTGGTGGTAAACTCTGGTCTCGCCGATCGCCAGAGAAGCCACTGGGAACACGAATCATGGCTCCTCCACTCCCGCCTCGAGCTGGGGCTCTCAATAGCAACCGATGCGGTTATTCTTCGTTCGAGTACGGGAGCATACACTCTCGGCGCTATAGAGAGGGGGGTGTTAAATGGGTTAGTCAATCAGGTCCGGATCAGCTCATCTCGGATGGTGGGGGGGGGGGGGGCAGTCGAGCCGGTGTGGGGGGGGGGGCACCGTATCAGTGATTCACGGCCAGGGAGGAGAGAGAACTTGTGGGGCGGGGGGGGGCAAAGAGACAATGGAGAGGTGGGGGGGGGCAATGGGTGGTGCAGGGCCAACGGCAGCGCCAGCGAGCGCCGGCCGTGGAATTCAATGATGAGCCGAAAAAGTGTATTTTAAAATTTATATAATTATTCTTTATATTTTGGGGGTCTTTCGGAAAAGTCGATCGCTTGTGTTGTGATGGAAACGTCGTAGGTTTTTGTTATTTTCTTTCAACCCATATGCGTGACTTTACCGAAAGACCCAAAGAATATGAATTCCTGTAGTCACGAAAGCTTTAAGTCAATTAAAATTTTGTTCAGAATATTGTTTTCTTTTTTTTATCACGAATGTGTTTATGTCGCAGTGTCTGTTTAGATTACTGACATTTCGGATTTGATTTACTCAGTTTCGAGTTTTGGTTTTAATTAAGTTAAATTCTCGTCCAGGGCTCGAAAACTTACGACTGCTTCGTGACGTTTTATTTTTTCAGGACCACCACCGTCTCGGATTCACGAGCGGCTCTTGAAAGGTTTTATTTTACTAAATAAATAAATATGCCTTGTTATTTGTGTTGCCGACCCCTGCTCAAGTCTAACTCATCACCCCGCTTCGTGGGTGACAGGCGAGGAGGTAACAGAACCCACGGGGCGCGCACAGCCACAGGGAAGTGCCAATTAGACAATCACGCCTCTTGCGGTGTTACAGTTGCGGGCTTCATCCTAATTGCGTGGCTTGTTGTTTGTTTTTGGGCTCCATTTTATGCTGCTGCCTCTTGTCGATGACGATCGTGAATAACACGGGCACGCGTTGGCCGAGTGGGAGCAGTGGCAGGAGGCAGTGCCAGGGTCAAAGCCGCCTCTGGTGAGGGGTGGAGTCGGTGGCATGATGAGGTGGCATGATGATAATGTAGTTGGTGGCTGAGTTTGGGGTATGATTATTATGTAGCCGTGATGTGGTGCCGTCAAGTGTTGCTTCGTGGTCTCGGACCGGAAAGCCAGGATTTCCCAGTCTCAGACACTTTTTTTTCTTGAGAACTGCTTTTTGTGTTTGGTGTTGTCCTTCCCGCGCACCTCCGATGAGCGTGGTTGACTACGTGCGGTGCGCCAAAGAAGTCCAACGTAGATGCATGCGTGCATCGAGAGACAGGAACGCTCCCCGTGGCCTATGACACCCGGCTACCTGCGGCAGGCAGACACGGGCCCTGGCTACTACCTTGATGCACGGATTTGCCGTGGAGCAGCACTCTCCTCACCCGACACCGCCTGCGGGCCGCATCGACTGCACTGCGGCAGCCCCAGCCCCCCCCCCCCCCCCGCGCCACCGAGCAAGACAATCGATTATAGGCGTTTAAAAAAAAGGCAAAGCACTTTCATGCTCAGATAAACATAGTTGTGTCTTTCTTGCACGAGCGCTCCACCATCGGAGTAGTAATAATGATTATTATTATTCACACATCTTAGACGCGAACCATTGGTGATCTGCAGTATCAGGGACAATGACAGAGCAGATGATCTCCGTGGAGAGCAAGACCTACAGTGAGGGAAAAAAGTATTTGATCCCCTGCTGATTTTGTACGTTTGCCCACTGACAAAGAAATGATCAGTCTGTAATTTTAATGGTAGGTTTATTTGAACAGTGAGAGACAGAATAACAACAACAAAAATCCAGAAAAACGCATGTCAAAAATGTTATAAATTGATTTGCATTTTAATGAGGGAAATAAGTATTTGAACCCCTCTCAATCAGAAAGATTTCTGGCTCCCAGGTGTCTTATATACAAGTAACGAACTGAGATTAGGAGCACACTCTTAAAGGGCGTGCTCCTAATCTCAGCTGTATAAAAGACACCTGTCCACAGAAGCAATCAATCAATCAATCAGATTCCAAACTCTCCACCATGGCCAAGACCAAAGAGCTCTCCAAGGATGTCAGGGACAAGATTGTTGACCTACACAAGGCTGGAATGGGCTACAAGACCATTGCCAAGCAGCTTGGTGAGAAGATGACAACAGTTGGTGCGATTATTCGCAAATGGAAGAAATACAAAAGAACTGTCAATCTCCCTCGGCCTGGGGCTCCATGCAAGATCTCACCTCGTGGAGTTGCAATGATCATGAGAACGGTGAGGAATCAGACCAGAACTACACGGGAGGATCTTGTCAATGATCTCAAGGCAGTTGGGACCATAGTCACCAAGAAAACAATTGGTAACACTACGCCGTGAAGGACTGAAATCCTGCAGCGCCCGCAAGGTCCCCCTGCTCAAGAAAGCACATATACATGCCCGTCTGAAGTTTGCCAATGAACATCTGAATGATTCAGAGGACAACTGGGTGAAAGTGTTTTGGTCAGATGAGACCAAAATGGAGCTCTTTGGCATCAACTCAACTCGCCGTGTTTGGAGGAGGAGGAATGCTGCCTATGACCCCAAGAACACCATCCCCACCGTCAAACATGGAGGTGGAAACATTATGCTTTGGGGGTGTTTTTTTGCTAAGGGGACAGGACAACTTCACCACATCAAAGGGACGATGGACGGGGCCATGTACCGTCAAATCTCGGGTGAGAACCTCCTTCCCTTAGCCAGGGTATTGAAAATGGGTCGTGGATGGGTATTCCAGCATGACAATGACCCAAAACACACGGCCAAGGCAACAAAGGAGTGGCTCAAGAAGAAGCACATTAAGGTCCTGGAGTGGCCTAGCCAGTCTCCAGACCTTAATCCCATAGAAAATCTGTGGAGGGAGCTGAAGGTTCGAGTTGCCAAACTTCAGCCTCGAAACCTTAATGACTTGGAGAAGATCTGCAAAGAGGAATGGGACAAAATCCCTCCTGAGATGTGTGCAAACCTGGTGGCCAACTACATGAAACGTCTGACCTCTGTGATTGCCGACAAGGGTTTTGCCACCAAGTACTAAGCCATATTTTGCAGAGGGGTCAAATACTTCTTTCCCTCATTAAAATGCAAATCAATTTATAACATTTTTGACATGTGTTTTTCTGGATTTTGTTGTTATTCTGTCTCTCACTGTTCAAATAAACCTACCATAAAAATTATAGACTGATCATTTCTTTGTCAGTGGGCAAACGTACAAAATCAGCAGGGCATCAAATACTTTTTCCCCTCACTGTATACTGGGAAGCGGAGCAGAGTTTAAATGAGCTTCTCTGCATGATGGTTAAGGGGTAGGGAATAAGCGTTCCGCTTTACTGCTCCTGCTCAGGTTCGGCAAAAATAAGCTTACTCTCAGGAGGTAACAGCACACGTGCGGATTTGAGTTTGCATCTCTTATGCATAAGAGGCTAAAACCGAGTAAATTAACAGAGACAAGCGAACATCTGGGGGCCATTTTCTCAGGCCTCTTCATCTACCCTGATTGCTCTGGCAAGGTCTCGGGCTTCGCAAGCAGAGCGACGGCGCAGGGCCTCCCGGGAGGAGCGCGCCGAGAGAGGCCCGGCTCGGCCTCACGCTTCGGCCGATCCCCGCGGGCCACGGGACCCGCGCCGCCGCCGAAGCCACCGCCGCCGCCGTGTTTCTCCCTCGCTTTGGAACGTCCGCGCACGGACCCGTCCGCACGCTCCCGCGACCCCGGCCCTCGGCGGCGGCAGCACCGGGGCTTGACGCCCGAGGACGGCTCGCGCATCACCCGGCTCGTGTCGCTCGCGACGCCGCAAGGCGGGAAAGCGGCGGCGGCGTGCGAGCGCCCGCCCGAAGCGTCCTCCCCCGACTCCTCCGACTCCTCGGCGGGGGTCCCAGAGGGGGCCCCCTCGTCGTCCACTTCGCGATCCTCGGCCCCGGCGTTCCCGGCGGCGGCGGCGGCGGCCGCGTGGACGTAGCGCGCCCAGCAGCCGGCCGCCGCCACCGCCGCCGCCGCCGCGCGCCGAGGTGGCGCTGGAACGCGGCCGCCGAGGGGCCGTCGGCGTAAGCGGCGGCCGCCGCGGCGGCGGCCGCGGCGGCCGCGGCGGCGCACGCGCCGCAGCCGAACGCGGACGCCGCCGTGCGGTATCCGGCCGCGCAATCCGCGAACGAGCGGCACTCGTCAGTGGCCCCGCCGGCGTCGCCGCCCCCGCCGCCGGCCGCCACGGCGCAAGCGGCGCGCTCCTCGCCCTCGTGGCCGTGCGCGCGGCCCGTCGACAGCCGTGGCCGCTTGCCGTAGGGCGGCGGCGGCGGCGACGGCGAGAGGGGCGACAGGCCGCAGTGGGTGGCGAGCCACGCCTCGGACGCCGCCGCCGCCGCCGCGTACTGCCGGTGGCCGTGCTCGGACGACGCCGCCGCGGCGGCCGCGGCGGCGGCCGCGGCGGCGGCGGCGGCGATGGTGGCCCGCTGGAGGCCCGGGCAGCAGCTGTCCGTGCTCCACTCGCTGCGCAGCTGCAGGTGGATGCGCCGCAGGAGGTTGTTGATGAGCACCGAGCGGCGCAGCAGCAGCTCGGGGTCGTCCATGATGCGCAGCTTCTCCACCGAGAGCTGCAGGATGTGCGTGCGGTCCTCGGGCACCGGGACCCTCTGCGGAGGAGGAGGAGGAGGAAGGGGAGGAGGAGGAGGGGGAGGAAGTCACGCGCACGCGGGCGTCCACGGAGGGTTCGAGGCGTGCGCGAGGCGAGGCTCTCCCGACAGCCGTGACAGACAGTCGGGACAAGTCCGGCACGGGGCTGCGTGGCCGGCAACCACGCCCGGTCGCCTTTGTATCCCCAGTGGCGATGTTTACACACCGCACCAGATACGCATTTGAGGTTGAATTGACCTAGGGGAAGGCCCAGGACCGGTTCAGATAATCGTCACCGATGGTGGCCGCGAGCGGTCAGCTGGCTAAACGGGACTCTCGGTGTCAACAAACAATCATTGAAACACACTCGCGGCGTGTCTGTCCGCACTCGCGGCGTGTCTGTCCGCACACGCGGCGTGTCTGTCCGCACTCGCGGCGTGTCTGTCCGCACTCGCGGCGTGTCTGTCCGCACTCGCGGCGTGTCTGTCCGCACTCGCGGCGTGTCTGTCCGCACACGCGGCGTGTCTGTCCGCACACGCTGCGTGTCTGTCCGCACATGCTGCGTGTCTGTCCGCACTCGCGGCGTGTCTGTCCGCACTCGCGGCGTGTCTGTCCGCACTCGCTGCGTGCACCACCACGAGCGGCATCATCAGCCGCGTGAGCGCTCTGCTAGTCGTGCCAATGCGAGCGCCGGCGTGCATGTGCTGCTGTGGAGGATCCTCACCTGCGAAAGGGCCCTAGTCTGGCTCGACGAGGGAGCTCGCTCGTCGGTGTCGCTCCCAGGGCTGCGCATGGGCGGGTGTCTCCGTGTGCTCGTCATCCGGGAGTCTGCATGTTTTGATCGTTGGCAGCACCAGGGTCATGTCTCTTGGCGCGATCAGGCAGGAGACGCTGCGGGAGCCACAGGGTTCGCGTGTCAAGGACAGCGTGCCAACGACGTCATAGCTCTGCCGGCGTGCGCGGCACACTTGGACCGCTTTTCCACTGCACAGCCGAGCCACAGAAGCGGGCATGGCGAGGCAGCCCGGGTGAAGGGAAGAGTCACGACTGATTCAGCCAGGAGTCAAACTCGGGCGTCCGGGTGGATATCGCAGTGTGGAAACTACGGCACGTTAATTCGTGGACATTCATGGCAAATAAACTTCATTATGATCCCAGTGAGGAACGTGGTATGTATACTGCGCATGACGCTACAATTAGAAACTGCTCAACAAGGAAGATCAATCCTGCCATTAGCTCATTAGGATGCTTAGGATGTTTTGTATATAAGGCGTTACAGGATAATGGAGCATAAAGTAACCGTACAGCATCGCCAGCACCACGTGTGGCCTCTGGCACGCGGCTCGGCAGTGACGCGCACTGCGAGCTCTGTGCTGGCCTAACGCCGATCTGAGGCGCAACGGCCCTGGTTGGCCTAATCGCGTGCACCCCCAGCACCTAGATCTGAGAGAGAGTGCCCTTGCCTTCTGAGCCGCCTAAGATTGGCAATCCACCAGCGTTGATTCAAGCGCGCCTGACTGCTGCTGACGCGACACTGTGTCGAAACCGGTTCAGAAGAGTGCTCGTCTTCAATCAGTGCTGCTGAAATTACCCACTCCCAAAATGCTGTGCGGCTGACGAAGTGTTTCAGAAGTAAAGCGACGGCTCCACGGGTTACAGAGGAGATCGTTGGACAGTTTAGCAAGCGAATTGAGTTTGGTAGGAGACGTGTAGTGGATAAAACATATATAGAATAAATGTTGATTTGTATACGATTAAATGTAAACATTGTAGTGGGGTATTTATACATGGATCATCCTATATGTTAAAATAATTACGCGGGGATTTACAAATCAGATACAATGGTATTCCACTGCGATCCAGAGTTACCACCGTTTAATCTTTGCCACGCCATATCCATCCCGAAATTAAGATCCTGACGGGCAGAAGAACCCGCGGCAGACCCAAACTTCAATACCCGGGCAGCGACGCTCACGACTCGCGCTGCAGTCATCGGACGAGGCAGCGAGCAGGCGCAGCGGACTCGGCCGCGGTATTCGCGTTCACTGGAACAGTCGCGCAGCAGCGATAGGTCACAACACAAGCAGAGGGGGCAGCACAGGACATCTGGCTTGAAGATCGGGCTGTACAGGGCTGCATCGATAGGTTTAGATTGTCACGGAGGTGGTGGTGGTGTTGGTGTTGATATTCCGCGTGTGTACCCAGGGGAGCCTCACAGAGTCCAAAGACTCTCTGTTATCAGGAGGGTCCTGCCAAGTTTCCACAGTAGTGTGGGGGGGGGGGGGGGTTGTTGCTGCAGGTCATTTTTCAGCATCGGAGTGTTTGGCCAACACAATTGACGTTGTGTGTGTGTTTAATTTTAGCTATGGGAGGACAGAATAGGGGGAGAGATCGAACAAACTCCACATAGAGAGGCATCGGTGTCGGAAATCGAACCCCAGGCCCTTTTTGGCGGGTGGCAAAGTGGCGAGAGTGAATCTATGTCAATCAAGAGTTGCGGGTGGACACTTTGGCACGGTGACGTTGAAGAAACCTGAACGGTGGCCACGATGCCGGACAAGTACCGGGGATGGGTTTGCTGATCTCGCAATCGCTCAGGTCAACAATCCATCTCGGAGTGCGCTTGCACTCCGAGATGGATTGTTGCATCGCAGGGCCGAGACAGATGGTGATGACACGGAGCCAGCAAAGGAAACGCTATCATCTCCTACATTCCAAAACCCCATCCTCTCTGTCGGATGTGTGAAACTGCACGTGTTGGAGTTACGGGTTTAATTTCCCTCGGGTCAGTCGGCAGCGGTGACTCGCTAAATTATTTCTGCACCCGGCGCCACCACATCCAGTATACGCCTCGCAATGGCCGTGGGCTAGTGGCCCGTGCCCACTCTCCAGTCTGTCAGCGACTTGGAGAGTATCCAGTAAGAACTGAAGCCCTTGCTTTGAGTCATATGAAAGTGGTGGCTCACCGGTAACCAGCCTCTCTGACCTCAGGGTTGACCCCGGAGTGGGGTGACAACTAAGAAAAGGCAGACGAGCTTCCAGCAGGGCTGACAGAGCGCACCTCACGGTGGTGGAGCCCCTGGCCACGGCAGCATGGATTTGCTAATGAGAGAGGAGTAGCGAATGCTTTGTGCATTGCCAGCCACCAACGACTGCTCAGTGACGAGTGTTCCAATAAGATTAGAAATGGTGAGAAAAATGTGTTAATGCTGATGGAAGCGTTGTTGGCAGGTGTGGTTAGCTAATGATGGCGTGACGTAGGCAGGGGGTTTCTTCGTTTGCAGGTTGGTATGCTACCTCTTAATGTTGCCCATTCCATTGGTCCCTTGTGCACAGATAAACCATGCTCGAGTGTGTGTGTTTGTTTATTTATATTATATCCTGATATTCATGAATAGGGAAACCACGTTTTTATTGCAGGCAGATAATGCAACGTGGTCAAAGCCTCCTCATTTACTCACCGCCCTCAAGTAAATCGTAAGCGCTCGCGCTACTCACGTGCGTTCTAAAGACGAGACGACGACCTTGTTTATGACCGAAAATCATCAACCGCGCTTAGCCAAAATAGCGATGCAGCAGCCCTCAGTGAGAACCTCGAGGAGAGAGCGAGCGAGTGAGCGGATTCCAACAAAGAGCTTCGGTTGTTTTGCACATGCGACACCATCAAGCACCTTAAAAGCAAACCGTCTTCCCCCCCGCCTTGCCTGGGTATTATATACCACGCGAGCATACCAATGAGGTCATTATAAACATTCGCTGTGTGGGTGCGAGAGAGGCGCCGAGCTGCCTGCCAAGCTGCACTATCGCCAGCTGCAGTTTTTTAAATAAATTAATTCGCACCGCACATCTCAGCCGGTGCAAGAAGACAAAAACCGCTGTGCGCGGGCGGGCGCTTGTGTGTGGATTTGACTTGTACGCATTCAGCCAGTCTTCTTCATCGTGAGAGCGAGCCAGCCTTCTTCATCGTGAGAGCGAGACAGCCTTCTTCATCGTGAGAGCGAGACAGTCGGAGCCATTCCCTGTACACCTTGGGGTGTGACAGGGATGTCTCCTCTGGCTCCCACATTATTTAGCATCTATTTCGACCACGTAGTTCGTGAAGCCTTCAATAGCTGTACCGGAGGAATTTCCATCTGGTACAGATACAATGGGAGGCTGATCGATGCCCGGGTGCGGTCAAGGGATGGCTCCCGATTGCTCAACTACGTTATGTATGCCGATGATCTGGTAATTGCTGCTCATTCAGAGGAGGAGTTGGAGACGCTGCTGCTGAACCTGGAGCTTGCCACTAAGAGGTGAGGACTTACCATCAGCCCCACGAAAACTAAGCACCTGCCTGGGTATTTTGTACCATCGGACACTCTACCCCCACAACTCCCAATCGGTGATCGCGCAGTTGTGGAGAGAGTGGAGAGTTTCCCATACCTGGGCAGTGTGCTTATGACCGGCTCCAGTTTAACAGCAAAGGTCTCACTCCGAATTAGTCGAGCGGCAATATCTTTTCATTGGTTGCGTAACGCTGTGTGGAAGCTACCTGGTCTGTCGCTCCGCACTAAGCTTCAGGTCTTCTCGGCCACGGTCATTCCCTCCCTTCTCTGCGCTTGCGAAACGTGGACCCCCCTAATGGAACATCTTCGCCGGTTAGAAACATTTAGGCTGGCCTGCCTACAATCCATCCTGGGTTTAACCAGGCTGGATTGTGTGAGCTCACAAATCCTTGAAATATCTGGACACATTCCCATCAGTGAGCTCCTCCGGCAGGCAAGGCTGCATTGGCTGGGCCATGTAGCCCACATGCCCAGCCACCGCATGCCTAAACAGCTTTTGTTCGGCCGGATAGAGGGGGCTAAACGGGCGCGGCACGGGCTAGAGAAGAGATGGAGTGATGTAGTACAGGAGGACGTGGAGCTGAGTGGACTTGCCGATAACTGGTACCAGCGGTGTCAAGATCGGCCTCTGTGGAGGAGGCTCGTGAAGGACGCTACTGGGCAGTTGGAGGCAGTCGCCCTCCAACAACAACGGAGGGCGGAGGAGCGACGCTCACAACAACGAGCGGAACGCCGGGTGCCTAAAGCACAGCAAGTTGGCACAGTAGGGGGCACAGGTGGTTCATCAGCCAGTCATCTCAGTCAGTCGACCTGTGGCACCTGGGTCTGCCCCGTGACCTCCTGCCCGCGGGCGTTCGACACTTCAAATGGCCTCAAGGTGCACATAGCCTGGCACAAGCGTCGTAGGCAGCGATAGTGTAGCGGTTAGCGCGCTGCACTATGAACCCGGCGATATGGGTTCGATCCCCGCTCACGGCCAACACCAGTGACGATTATCTGAACCGGTCCCGGGCCTCCCCTAGGTCAACTCCGCCTCAAATGAGTACCTGGTGCGGTGTGTAAACATCGCCACTGGGGAGACAAAGGCGGTCGGGCGTGGTGCTGGCCACCCACCCCCTCGTGTACCGTTCCAGCCTTCATAGGTGCTCGCTAACAGCACTTGCTCCTACAGTCTGTTAAGGCTATACGGGGGATCTTTGTGCGTGTGTACGTGAGTGTGCGTGAGTGTGCGTGAGTGTGCGCGCAGCCAGAATTTCCGCGTGCGTGTCCCTCGTGATGTAGGTGAGCCCGCGTTGTGACCAATGATCCCCCGTGAAGCCTGAACAGACTGTTGGGGCAAGTGCTGTTAGCGAGCAGCTGTGGCACACGAGGGGGTGGATGGCCAGCACCACGTCCGGTCGCCTTTGTCTCCCCCAGTGGCGATGATTACACAACGCATCGAGTACTCAATTGAGGCTGAGCCGACCTAGGATCGGTTCAGATAATCGCCACCGGTGTTGGTGGTGCTGACCGCTACACCGCCGCTCCGTCACCAAAACCGCAGCACGCTGGAAGGAAGCGCGC